TTTTGTAGTTACCTAGCACTGTATAATTGTAAGTCTCTTTTCTTTCGAGTTGAGTATGCTGTTTTGATCCTGCGGGATACTGGTTCGCACTGCATAAGATCCTTCTCTGTGTTTACTGACTTCAGGATACCTTGTGGTTATGTAAGCTTAAACTACTTGTTAATAGTAAGTAGTAAAATGCTTTATATGAAGGGAAGGCTATTATAGAGGCTCACATTGCCTAGAATGCATGTAAATCTGACTATACCGGTAATCTAAGTGGCGAATTTTGTTTTTCTGGTGGGCTTCTAAGAAGTATGATCATACCCTATCTAGTCTAATACCGTTTAATCCTATAGAAGTAATCTTAAGTCTTCAATTTCTCAGTTGTTTCATAGTGACGTGACTCTTAAAAAAATCGAAGTGAAGTAATTCTGTCACGATAAGGTATTAGAACCTTGGAAAATTAGAAACAATATCAACAAAAATCCCAATATTCGCGCAGTTTCGGTTCGAAGATGCGTCGGATTCACAGTGGTGTGGATTATTGAGAAAGACATTTTCGCGGAAACTCTGTTGAAATTCACTTTACCGCATACCAATTTTTGCTCTTCTAGAATTTCAAAGTGTATGCTTTCAACTGCAAAATAGTTTTGAGAGGCGAATAGCCAGGCTATACAGGAGTCATAATTAGAATTACACAAAAAAGTTCATATCTGACAAGGCTCACTTGTAGGTGACATTGTGGCACAAGCACACAATTTCATTCATGTAGATTTCCTCTGTAAGAATACAGATCTGCACAAAAGAACAAATGTCCTTCATGGGTGCTGTTATAATGCTGTGTTGCTATCCATAATAGCGATATAAAAGGATGTATCAAAATGTCACTTTCGTCAGGCACATTTTAGGAACTAGATATATTATTACTGTGTAATAACTGACCAGACTTACTGGACTTTCAGTGCTCTAGTGTCCACTCAACCAATATCTTACCTAACCAATAATGAATAGCGAATCGAAAAGGATTAAAATACTTCGCAACAGAAGCAAAGGAGCAATATATTTAAATAGAATGAAGGTTGAGGTAGTTGTGGAGAAAAGAGTTTACCCGGTCAGTGGTGGATTAGTTATGAACTAAAACAAACGAGGCGTAAACGTTCTCAGAACTTCTTCAGATATTTGCGCATTAAACCACCTGACAAAATGGCTATTCAGTTCACCATGGTTCTCAGTGGTTCTCTGACTCATGTCAGCAGTTGATGCAATATGTGATATAAAAATTACGTTTTCACCTGCCGACTGTTTTTGATCAAAATATTAAGTGAACAAATATTTTCAAAAAGACTAGTTGAAAAAAAAGTTTTAGAGATTGTGAGTGAAGAGTAATTCACAGAACACTTATCTCAAACCATTTGAAAAGCCTGACAACATGTTGGTTATTCGTGAGGCATAATGCTCTTTCCTTCAGTATTCCTAATAATTTTTGAGATGATATACAGGAAGATCTGTCAACCAAACCTTAAGTTATGTTAACTGTCTGACAGCAGAATAGATTTCCAATCAGCTGACTCACATATTTTAAATGGAAATGTTAGCTAGCCACTGGATTTCTATTTCTTAGTATTCAAACCATCACTATCAAACGATTCGCAGTTAATACAGCCTTATTTTCTCGTATATAAGACTGTTGCGAGAGATGATTTAAACAGTTAGATGAAATACACCACCAAATGCTTTAGTTCACTGGTGGGACTTTGAAATATAGTATAGCAAAATAACTAATCATTTCCTTCCACATAAATAAGTAAAAATATTCCCTACAGTTCCAAATGAGACATAGGGCTTCAAGAGCCCTTCTCCATTTCACTTTTTCCTCTGATATCCTTTTCAGATAACTTCATGATTGTCCATAATCTTTCATTGCCTCTGCACATGATGTCCTCGTCGTCTCCCGTTCGGAATCCACTCAATGGTCAGACACGCCCTATCATTCAACGGTCAGCGTGTGTTGAATCTATCAGCATTCTCCTCTATATATTTGTTGGGAAATAGGTCATTTGTTGGTTTGTTGCCGAAGTATTTTGTTTTTTATTATTAGTTAACCAGTACACTAATTTACTAGCCATCCATAAGCCCACGAAAAAAGAGAAGGTTGAAGCGGAGCTACCGGCCCTACACGGGAAAATAATATTAAGGATTTCAGGCTAATTATTCAAGTTCTTCAGTAAGACAATGATGGAATCATAGTTGGTTTCTTTTCTGAGTCTGTGAAAAAATGAGTTCGCCATCATTTTGTGTTAATATATATCAATGATGTGATTGATTCCCAATGTATTTCGTATTTACTATCATTACCAAAAGGTTTAATAAAAAGCTATACAAATATTTGGCCGAAGAAAAGCAAGAATTTAATGGTCACTTCTCATCCTGGTGTAAGTATAGGCTTGACTAAGCTGCAAAAATGAAAACATAATCATGATGTCACAACATAAACTTGGTCACAGTTGTACACGTAACTCGATGTCGTTCAATTCGTAGCATAAACCAATTCCATGTGATATTTTCCCTCGTCTTTAAGAAATGTATAGTGGTAGGTTGAAAACCAATTAAAAATATACGTCAAAACATTTTACTACCATAGATAATAATTAAATGATTATAACAATAAGAAATAGGAAAATTTTGTTGCACGGTGTCGGATGAAAATGCAAGATCAGAAAATCAAGATAGACCTTCATTATTTTGAAATTAGTGTTGAAATCCGCTGCAATCAACTTGAAGAACAAGATTACGATTTTCATTAGTAATGTTAAGTCAGTATTTCTATGGGGTTCAGAGACATTGGTGCAAGCGTCACAAACAGCATTCTGACGAGCTATTGGAGACTGTCATCAACAGCTGCTTCCGTTCCATACTGAAGATTAGGTAGTCGACTGAAATTGGTGAGCAACTAGGAACTTCGGGAATGAACCAACTAAGAACCGTCTATCCAACAAATATGCCTTAAAAAATGGGGGTGAATGTAACACACTTTGAGGAAACCATGGAGTGACAACACACTCCAGTGAGGCTCTTGAATGGAACCAGAATTGGATATGAAAAGTCGGGCGTTGGTCCGAGGGTGACGCGGAGGAGATTGTATGGGGAGGATACAACAACTTATAGGCAACCGAGATTCAAGCTAAAAAGGAGTACAGAAAACAGAATGGAACGGAGATGCCCTATTAAAGCGCTTTATTCTACTTGCAACTTAAAGCAATAATAATTACTATTTAGTATTCTCCAGGCACTGACAATTGACCTTTCAAAATACCCCTCATTTAATGCAGAGGTAAATCTGAATAAACAAAAAGCAAACATTATATTGCGTTATTTTACTATTCGATAAAATCTAAATTTATATACACTCGAAAAGTTCTAATATTTGAGTCACAATAGTTTTATCCACACGCATAATCTTTAATGTGACTTAAATATAACCAACTGGTAACTGCAATTGAAGCAAATAATTCATTCAAAATCTCCGCGTACGTGGTAACAAAAAATCATTTACTGATCTCCGTCTTTATTCGTTTAAAAGAAGTGGCAGTCGGTAGTAGTAGTAGTTAGGCTTTATAAAATCTTTGATGCAAACAACAAGTTGTTATCGAAATACTGGTAACACACAAGTACACACACACACACTCACACAAACAGCTCATACAAACACGCTTATGAATAACCAAGATAAAGTTTTAATTTCAATACTTTTCTTATTTCTATCACTTTTCATCATTCAAATCAATGCATAAATCATGAAATGATAAAAGGTTGTTTCACACAGATATGAAACCGATCGAAAACTGATTAAATGATCAGGTGATTAGTTGATGAATTGTTTTTGATCACTGTTATCACTGCTTCTATTACTATTATTATTATCATCATCACTATAGTTTGTTTCTTAGTCAGTGTCACTTGTAAAATATAAATCAAGTGATCATGATTAGGAGGGGTATTCATGGATAGACAAGTAAACAATCCATTGATAAATCAATAGAAACCTAAATTATTTATCATTATCATCAATTATTCATTGAAATGAGTGATTTACAAATTTGTGTATATATATATTTTAAATTTCACAAGTACGTATTAATCACGAAAATAAAAAATTTGTTTGTTTTACTCTTTTTGAGGTAAACAATTTTGTTTTCTAAACACGATAATAGTAAGTAGTTTTAGTTCAACAAAACCAAAAAAAAACAAATGAAATTAAAAATTGAATATTGAACAGTTTTAAGAAACAAATGATACCATGTTTGATGATATATATATTTTCATATGTACCACAAATGATTCATTTAGAGACAAAGGGCTGATGATTGTTGAACATATGTATTCAACGACTATATACTTTAATGAAAGTTGATTCGATGGAGATTCATTTATTTCTGTGACAATTTTTACCAGTATTCTTATTAGTTTAAATTACATTCAGGTGAAATGTAAAGAATGCAGTTGTGTGTGTATGCTTAAATTTCTAGGAAGCACATTTAATTTACGAAATTAAAAAAAGACATTGATAATAGTCTATAAATGACTTACAGGTGAATAAGTCATTCAGAGCATTTGAAAACTAATCATTTACATGTCTACACATATTTATGTTTAAATAAACAAAATGTAAAGGACACTGACAAATGATGGGAAAAAAGTTGGTTTCTAAAAAATGAAGCCAGTTCGAAATACTTTTCAATAGAAAATAAGTCTTAGTCTCCCGTTTTGTTTTTCTTTCTTAATTCTGAACTTTTTGAATGCGTTTAAATTGAACAGAAAGAAAATTCCCGCAAAGTTTAAAACATTGAAATAATTAAACTGGAAACTTGATACATTCATCACTTTTTATCCAACTGATAAAACTACTTTAAAAGTAAATAGACAAAAAGCAAAATTAACCAGAGAAGTATACATTTGTGCACTTTAAGGTATAGTGTTGTATGGTATTCACTGACAGATTGGTTTCTTTTTGTCTTGTATTATCGTTTCTTCGATTTTCTACTTACACAACCACAGAGGAGGGATCTGCCTTTATTCTTTTGTTTATCACCATTTGTCATTGGTTTAGTGATCAAATCTTGTTTTTGATGGGATTTCTTCTTTTTACTCAATAGTGATGTGATTGTTTTGGATTTCGGTTGGATATCTGTATTAAAAAGCAGAAAAGGCAGGGGTTTAGTTTCAAAAAAATACGCATCTATTTAAACAAAATTAGACAATCAGTAAAATACAAACAGGATACCTAATCAGTCTAAGGCTAAACAAAGCAAACAATAGATGGCTGCTTAAATGGAAGATTCAGACAAGTTTATGAGTTTTAATAGCACCCACTTTAGTTACTGATAATTGCTAGTTGTTTCAGCGATTTAAGTGACAGTGTAATGTAGAATCACTTGTTCTTTAAGCTGAAGGTTGAATTCGCAAACTTTATAGCAGACTTTTGCCTTAATGAATCTGTAATTTTCTAGAAAGTCCAGCTCGCTCTATACATCAACATTTTGCGCTATCATTATCGCGACGTAATATGTCTTTCTGCATACTAGACGGAAGCTCCAGCAAATGATATCCCAGCTGAACAAGATTTATTCAATAAGTTTATCATTGATTTATTAGTCTGAAGATTCTTGTTTAGAAGAATGTTGCATAAAGTGGTCGATACAGTGGCAAATAGAAGTAAATGGATTCATGCATAATACTACATACAAATGATTTATTGAAATGAGTAGTTGAATGCCACTCACATCAAATAGTGGTGCAACAACAGAAGACAAGGGCCAGATAACAGATCATTTTTTAAGGAAATCAACACATATTTATAGATTTTCATGTACATATTATAGATCATTGTTAGCGGAAAAAAAACAGTCTTCTGATTGGTTGTTTCCCACAGAAAGTTAACCTTGCATCTCTTTGTGACTGTTCATTGAATGTCAGATCATCTATATGTTAACTGTATCCGCCTACGCAAAGCCTTTGTTCTCATTTTTCTCACCACCGATATTGGGGACGTAAACATTGACGTAAATTACTGTCCACCAATTTTGGCTAACGGCCCGCTATCACCACAGTAGTGCTTCTTTGTAGCATCGAAGTAATCTAAACAACGTGTCACTGTTTCCCTGTCTTCGAGACAAGCTCAGAAAGATTCAAACCGAGTATACCGCAGATGAACTTTGCCCAAAACTAGCTAAACGTCCGTCCAGTGTTTAGTTCACTTCTATCTGGTCAGCGAGCAACACTCGTTGATCAAGTGGTATGCAACCACTCATCTTGATCAATCTGCAGTGAATTGTTTCATGTAATTAAGCTTGCCTTGCTTATTATGGTATGATCATGGTATCAAGCAGATCACATATTGTGATCTGAACAATTTTAGTTTCAAAAGGGAACTGTAATGGATTTTTACCTTAAACTGTGTGAATTACAAATCGCGCATTAATTTACAAATTGGGATTTTGATTAAATGGACTCATTTTCATATTCTTCAATTTTTCCTTAAGAACTTATTTACCAGAATTAACCCTTCAGAGATAAGTAAAAAAGTTATCAATGTGTATTCCTTAAAATTTCATTCAGAATATTTAGCGGATTTTTTTGCAAGCTGGGAAGTTTATGAGGACTGTTGTCAGTTTGCTGATGTTAGAAATACAACTTCTTCGTTTGGGATAAAGTTTGAAAGTTATGAAACTTGATTCATATGAAAGAAAGAACTTCAGCTGTGTTACACATATATATGTCTTCTGCAGAATCCACACCTAATAATCAAATACATATCTTTTAAGAATAAAAAAGGATTTGATTCTAAAGTCAGCGAAGTATGGATAAGTAACCCCATATCATAATAACCATTTCATCGCTTCAAAAAGATGGTCAACTTATAAAGCATTGTAAAGTATTCAAAACCCACTTTTTAAACAGTTATAATTTGCGTTAATTTACATATGATAGTGGTGGGATCAGAAATCATTCATCTTGATAAAGAACACAACATTACAAAATTCAAGCTATTTCAGTGCACTTCTTTTATAATATCTTGTTACAGAGTTTAACTGAATAATAGTGAAGAAATAATCGGATACATAAACAGAATAAAGTTTTAACCAGCATTTCATTGTTTTCCCACTTTGATTTACAAAGCTTTCATTTAGTTTGACAACAGTAATTTTTCACCGTATATTATTATCATCTCTTATCAAATAAGTATTTTACAGTTTTTTAAACGTGTTGAATAAGAATGTGCAGTGCTGACTTACATAATCTTTTTATGCACCTAGTGAAACAGAGGAGTGAGTGATCCAATCTAACATTTCTATGAATGAAGGAGTTTATGAACTGGAAAAACTCCTTTATTGTATCATAGTTGACAAGTTATTCTACTAATAACAAAGATTTTATCAGGAGACCTGAGTAGAAAGACATAATCTATTGAACATGCAGTGTAAACGGACTCATCGATTGTAATAACAACTCTTGTATTTATCCATCACTGACTATAATAGAAATAGCTTAAGGGATCACGTCGACGAGTTATATTTTTATCTGCATAAAGACAAATTACCTTCATTATTAAAGTTCATATTCATTAAGGTTTTGTTTTATGCATTCCTATTATCCTCATGCACAAGGGTATACCAAATGAAGTATTTCAGTAGTTTATGACGATAGTTTTATTCTATGACTTTAAGCGTACGCATTTTTTTTACTAGTAAACGTTTCTATGTCATTGTCCGTAAAACAAATGGTGTAAGAAAATACAGAAATGATTTTTAATAATGTCTAAGGAGGGCTAAAAAGACACAGTAGAACAAAGTTCTGGAAAAATTTATCTTAAACCAAAAGATAATATCCAAACATCATTTACTAAGTGATTAGGCGAGACAGCTTTTCATCTATCTGCTGCTATCATGACTTTTACATTCGGATTCTGTCAGTCTTTCGTCTCTTAGCTTGTTATATTCATTCAGTGGAATAATAGTTACAATGGTTTTAAGGCTATATAAAAATGAATATGATCAGCTATGTGTAATCATCCTTCCTGTACATAAAATTTTCACCGTATTAAACTGTGAACTGTGTACATTCTACGTCGTAACTACCTTCGATATAGAAGGAGAAATGGCAAATAAAACTTGAACGTGAGTCGATAACCGTTGTCTTTAGCATGGGAATCATACCAAAATTATGAAAGTTTATGGTCGTTACTAGTAATAATAGACAAGTAAATTATGTTTATTTATTACAACTATTTACGGTCAAAATTTTACATATATCCAGTCTATCAAATATTCTCGAAAAGGGATATCACTCTTGCCTTTTTTAAATGTTTAGTTTCATCATGTATAATCTAGTTAAAACATGAGTTGAATAATGTAGACTGTGATATCTTGAAAGACAAATGACTGTATGAAATGTCAGGTAAGCTAGATTAATTATTGAATTGAATTTTTGATTTTTCCGTCGATTGATTGGACCGAAGTGCTCGGTCTCAGGTTGTCATGTCGGCTTCTTGTGCAGATGCTTCGATTGGTGGATGGTGGCTGGTGATGTCAACCTGATACCGAGCACTTCGGTCCAATCAATCGACGGGAAAATCAAAAATTCAATTCAATAATTAATATGACCCGCTGCAGAAGAGGTGGCTCTCGTGGCCCAAGTGGTCTAGTGGATAACGCTTTGGCGTTCGAAACTATGGGTACTGGGTTCGAGCCTCGGTGGGAACATCATCACTCACTGAGAAATGCAGGTACATCCAGTTGGCTGACTAGTCCCAAATAGGACGAAAAGCGCATCCTGGATTCCACTGCTAGCCACCATCCACCACTTGTAAGCTAGATTAAGTTTCATTGAATTATATTACTAAGCAATTACGAAATAAAAGAAGCCTACTGCAATTCTACCAATGTTTTTACCTTCAAATGGCTACAATTCACTTTAAATCTCAATGAAGACATCACTATTCGCAATGAAAACCCATAAGATACACCATACTGGATTAAAATTAAAAAGTAATTGAAATATTATTTGTTATAATCATATTACTGGTTAAGCATCTAAGCCATGAATTTCTCTTTGATACTGTATAGGCAAATTACTGAGATTTTATGAACAGCAGTCTATCAATTCATTGATTGCTTCGGACAAGGATAGTCCCAGTTATTTAATTTCATTCTATGACGTCAGACATTCATAAATCATAAGAAATCTATTCAAGACAAAAGAAACTAATTAGATAGACTGATGTGTATACTATTAAGTGGGAAATAATTTGATACAGTTAAGCATCATTATTTGTTCAAGTGTTCTAATAACAGCCAATAATGACGTCGTGTGGTTATTATAATTTGAGAAAGTTTCTCAGAAAAGCGTTTAAACCCAATGCAAATAACGATGTAATAAGTATGAAGAACGAAAATATGATAATGTGGATTAAATTTTTTTAAGAAACATGGAATTCTATGGTAATTAGTATAGCCAAAGAGTTAATAATAATAGCAACAGCTTTATTCTGAGAAATGCGCTAATACAAAATGCTGCATTGGAAACCAGGTAGTACTGGACAGCTGTTTCTTCCTAGTTTTGAAATCATCGGCAGTACGCACACCACTCCACAGGGTTCGAACCCAGAACCTTCCGGTTACAAGGCAAGCTCGTATACCATTCAGCCACTGGGATCCGACTCAATGGCCAGACCATGAATTATAACTTCTACCAGTTCGTGATTTAGCACAATCCCAACCAATGTCTTTGGTAGATGCGTACTGCCAATGATTCCCAAACTAGGAAGAAACAGCTGTCTAGTACTACCTGGTTTCCAATGCAGCATTTTGTATTCACGCATTTCTCAGAATAAAGCTGTTGCTATTATTATTAACTCTTTGGCTGGTTTTCAATGGTTCCCTAACTGATATTAATCAGTGATCAACTCGTAACGTTGTTCCAACTGAAGCTGGCTCCACTACTACTTCAGGATTTTCTTCCTTTATTTTCTCTGAAAAATCTCCAGCTGTAGTTAGAAACTTATTTGAAATATTATGCCAGTATGAGTTGCGACTCATTGTAGAGCATGAAAATCATTTGAAACAGAGTAAATACGATGCATTTTGATGGATATAAATTTAGGTAGCCCAGTGATTTAAGCAGGCTGCT